CATGTCTGTGGTAGCAATGCTAGCAACTGCGAGTGTGTAAATATGTATATTACCTTATACCATCTTCTGGCCATTAACCCATCATATGATTGGAATAGGCTGTGTTAGAGTGAAACAAATTATTTTATTTCCCGCAAATGTGTATAAAACTCACAAATTTTGAAATATGTTAAGAAAAGATTATAAAAAATGATGTTTGGTGAGTCAATGGGATGGCTCAATTGGTAGCGTCACGGACTTCAGGCCCAAGGCAGCAATGTCGTGGGTTTGGATCCTGGTCACTGCCACTAAAATTTATCAGTGCAGTTCACCTTCGTACTGTACCGGCTCACCCCTTGCTTTGCTGGAAACGTTCCACGCACAGATCTGTAGTCTATGTGGACGCCCAGTCACTATGCTACTAATTAATAAGCTCATCCAAACTACCTTCCAGATATTCCTTTATTGAGTAGTGAGGATTTTTACGGAAGAAATTTCCTGTGGTGGTTTTATACTTTCTGCTGGCAAGGGTCTTTGTGGCAGCTGGGAGTTTGTTGAAGAAACGGATGGCGCTTCCAGGGTATGAGTCTCCATTTCTACTGAGGCGTGTGCGAGATACATCTAGTTGATTTCGGCCTCCTGTATTGTAGTTGTGTATGTCAGCCCTGGCCACCAAGCCCTGTTCATTGTTCTTGATTTCCTGCTTGTATGCCCATATGAAGATGGGTTTGCTATGCTCATGGCGATGGCTGCTTGTTATAATGCGCACAGCTTTCTTCTGGAGCTTCAAAACTCTGGCTGCTCCAGCAGCGTGTCCCCAGAGATGTATGCCATAAGAGATATATGACAATGAAACATAGCATGGTACACCAGAACAAGGTAGGAACCTGTAACACAATTCTGTAACAGACATGTTTGATGACCACTCCAGTCACACTAGAACAAGGTAGGAACCTGTAACACAATTCTGTAACAGACATGTTTGACATGATCACTCCAGTCACACTAGAACAAGGTAGGAACCTGTAACACACTTCTGTAACAGACATGTTTGACATGATCGATCCAGTCCAGTGTTGGGTCAAGGTAGAAACCCAATAGTCTATCACTCCCACCGATGTTGTTTGGGGTGCGCGTGACAGAGTGCAAGTCATCCAGTTTGTCTTGGCCTCATTTAGCTGCAGTTTGTTTGCTCAAAACCACAGCTCCACATCATTCAGATTATTTTTCGCTTGCTCCGCTGCAAGGATCGGTGTTTTCCCTCTGGTATACAGAGTAGTATCGTCAGCAAAGAGCACAAGATTTCCATACCACCCCAGGTCGTTAATGGCAATCAGGAAGAGAAGTGGCCCAAGAACTGAGCCCTGAGGGACTCCGTGTAGAACCTCCCTTTCTGCGGATTTTGCACCCCTTAAATCAACCACTTGTCTTCTGTCACTTAGGTAGTTACTGAGCATGGAGAGAGCTTTACCTCTGACACCAAAAGCTAAAGCTTATCAACAAGGATTCAATTAGGAACACAGTCGAACGCTCGACTCAGATCACACAGTGTAATACATACTGAGTCCCTGTCTTCAAAAGTGTTTGCGATTTCATCAGCAATGACTGAAACTGCTCCAGTAGTGGACCTACCCCGCCGAAAACCGTGCTGCGAGTTACTAAAAAGGTTGTTTGACTCAAAGTAATTGCAGGTTTGTTCCTTCTTGATTACTATCTCGAGAACCTTGCTAAGGACAGGTACCAAAGAGATAGGCCCATAGCTAGCCAGAACGTGGGGGTCTCCCTTTTTTTATAATGGCACTGTCCGTGCGATCTTCATGAGTGCGGGAAAAAAACTTAGAGGTTAACTGTAAGAAAGGACCGTGAGGTCATAAGTTAGCCTCAATAAAGAAGGATTTTCATTTCATTTAAAAAAAAACACTGCTGCAGGCTGTCATTGATAGCTAGGGTGAGGGGTGCAATGATGAAATCCGCTACTTCCTTAAGGAGCTTGGTAGACCACCCATAGTACTCGCGGCTCAAGGTGCTCTTAAGCCAACTTATAATCTTCCGGACCTTTTCTTCATATACTTTACTCCATGCAGTCCTACTAAGGTCGGGCTGGAACTCCGGCATCCGATCTTTCAAAATGTCCAAAGGGTCAGAGGGAGCATCAGGGATACTGGTAACTATATCTGAGACAGATGAAATAAAGAAGTTGTTAAATTCATCGGGACTTGCAGCGCAACACATTTCTGGTGTGGGTGGCCTGACTGAGTTTATGATGTACCAGGCTGCTTTATTTGATTGTTGGAATTTTCAATGAATTCGACATTACCTGCTCTTTTCGCCTCCTCAACCATTTTGTTATACAGCTTCTTAGCTAGCAGATACCTAGCCTCGTCTCCCCTGGCACGTTGCATCAGCATGAACTCCTTGAGTCTACTAAGAGTTGGAATGTACCAAATCGGATATGAGAGGTCCGACGCTTTTTTGGTTTAGGCTTACCCGCCTTACTCCAGGTTACTGCCCGCTTCTCCTTTACTGGGAACACAATATCCAGGGTTTCCTGAAGGTGGCTAAAAAAGAAATTGAAAAAAAAAACTCTCACCCTGTGGTCTACTAGCAATTATGTCATCCCAGGCAATTTTTTTAGAGCAGTTTTAAAGCGAAGAATCATAGACTATAATGTTAGTGATAAGAAAGTGAATTCACATGAAGACCCCTGAAGATGCCACACAAGGTCCCACACAATAGGTCCCACAGGGATCTATTCTTGGACCTGTGCTCTTCCTCATTTATATAAATGACCTGGGGACTGAGGGAAGAACTTTGTTCTTCGCCGATGAAACTACCCTCATCACAAGTAGTAGTGACTTGGACCAACTGAAAAGTGGAACCCTTGAAATCCTTGACGGAGCTAAAGCTTGGTTCTCTAATAACAAGCAAAAAATAAACAACGACAAAACCCAGGAACTGATATGCAGTCTTAAACATCAGAATCCACAACAACAACCTGTGAAACTGCTTGGTTTTTGGCTGGATGGCAAGTTCACATGGGATAAACACATAGGTGAGTTAGATGCCAGACTTTCCAGAACAGTTTTCCTTCTAAGGAAGCTAAAAAACTTGGTCACTGATGGCCTCTTCCACAGTCTAATGAGCTACGGTATCATTGTCTGGGGGCACGCTTCGGAAACAAGAACCATTCTGAAAACTCAAAAGGCTGCTATAAGAGCCATAACATCCAGCGCAAGGCATGAGCATTGCAAACCACTGTTTCGTGACTTAGGAGTGATGACTGTTTACAGTCAATTTATTTACAACTGTCTGGTGCATGTTAAGGAAAACATAGGCAACCTCAGCTGCAGAAACCAACTTCATAATTACAACACGAGAAGAGGAGAAAATTTTAAACATTTCTTTCTGCAGGCTGAGCAAGCAAAAAGACTGCTATCCTGTCCTTGGCATTAGGCTCTACTTATCTGGACAAGAACATAAAGTTACTCCCTCTAAGGAATTTTAAAAAGAAAGTCGAAGAGCTACTAAAGGCACGGTCTCTCTATTCCATTAGGGAATATTTTGTTGAGGAAAGTGATGAATGGATCTCATGACCTACTGTCATGTTAACCAATTCTAAAGTATTAACACTTTAAACTTTTTTTTACGAAATCTATCCAGTCATTACTGGTCAGCGATGGATGTATGGTATAAAGGTATACAAGTTGGCAAAATGCATAGGTTGACACAAACATATTATGTACAAGATCTCAGGTGGCAACAACAAAGGTAACCTAAATCTAAGTTAATATGATTCCATTGTGCATGGAATTGTAAGCTTTCATTTTAGTTTTTCTGACACTTAAGTTGGGGCTCTTTCTCTCAAAAACCGATTGTATTTAAAAATTCGTCGTGAAAAAGACTCGCACTACTGGTAGACACACAACTTAAGAATCTAGGCCTATCTTTTTTTGTCAGCGAGGCTGCATAAGTTATAACCTTTGCCGATCAATAAGTTAATTCTGAGTAGGCCTACACTGACATATACTTAGGTGATCCAGAAAGTAAAGAACGTTTCGTTATGACGCCGCTAGGCGCGCGCCAATCTCGTACATTTTGGTATGTGCGTACTTGGCAAGTCAGTCGGCATCCAGCCGTGACAATTGGAGCATTCTAGCGCTGCCCATTTTTTCACAATTTCAACTTAAGATGAGCGCTGCAATAAAAAATCCCGCCAGTTAAGGGGTGCGGTCAGTGATACGGTTTTTGTTGGAAAACACTTAAAACCGAAACTTTTCCTCAATTTTCACGGACTTTGTTGTTTAAAATTGTCACGCAACAAAGCGAAAGACCCGTTATCGGGAATCGGTGGTTTTTGCGAACCTTTTCATCAACTTTAGTGACCAGTTCCATCAGTCACAATGCTCGGCGTCCGCCCTTCGCTTCGTCATGACTCGTGAGCGTCAGATCGGCCATTTTTAATCTGAATGCACCATTTTCTCAGAACTTTCAATCATTAAGTTTTTTCCTTGAACTTCATACCCTTGGCGATAAATGTCTATCGATTTTAAGTTTAATGCCAACACAAACCGTATCACTGACCGCACCCCTTAACTGGCGGGATTTTTTATTGCAGCGCTCATCTTAAGTTGAAATTGTGAAAAAACGGGCAGCGCTAGAATGCTCCAATTGTCACGGCTGGATGCCGGATGAGTTGCCGAGTACGCACATACCAAAATGTAGGAGATCGACGCGCGCCTGGCGGCGTCATAACGAAACGTTCTTTACTTTCTGGATAACCCACGTATATATAGGACTGTGTCTGGAGGGACTTTTGGACTTAGATCACTGATTTTAACTTAATTCATCTATATGATCCAAAAACTTGCCTACCGTATAATAGTTATGCTAGGCTAACATTTGGAACTGGCCCGGCACAAATAGCCAATGACTGATGATTACACTTAAGTTAATGTTCTTCAGGTTTAACTGAATATTTCATGGCTCAATCAACTCATAGGTTTTCATCTAGTAATACTTACAGAATAAAAACAGGGTACATTATGTTAAACGATGTTATGTTTTCTGTGCATTGCCATTTTCTCAACACAGGATGAATATCCCACTGTGAAGTTTATGGTTTAGTGAAGGCAAAGCACCATTCACATCACGACTGATATCACCACTCATTTTTATTTTTGAGACAATTGGGGTTTAAACTATTTTAATCCCGTATAACTTAAACAAATATCCCTCACTCACAGACACAGATGAAGTTTAAGAGGTTATGTTATTGTTGTGAGGTTATGTTAGTTAGAGAGAGAGGCCATCTTCAAAATGTCTTCAAACTTCAACTTCATAGACAGGCAAGAAAAAAGCACTTTTTTTGTAGTTCATTTTAAAAGTCTGTTCGACTAGGAACCATTGCAACTGTACAGATAAATTTACTAAAGTTACTAATCTTCTGTTAAAACCCTAATCTGATTTGTAGTTTGAATGTTTTACTCTTTTTGGTCCTGAGTTTAGTCGACGTTTAGAAAAAGGGATCTTGGTCGGTGTATTGCGTGATATTTCAGTGTCAGAAATTGTGACAGTTTAACCTGTACTGTACAATATTCCCCTTTTTGTTAAATTTTTATGCCATTTTGAGCCTGTTAAAAGTTTACCTCCTCCTTGACCAAGACCAGGAGAGCCAGATGGGGTTTTTCAACTAACGCTTAGAGTTTTTTTTTCTCAAGAAAGACTTCTGTAAAGGAAAAATTAAAAAAAATTACTATGGTGGTTGTGAATTTGACATAACTATAACTTTATTCCTTTAATTATTCTTGCAGGCTGCAATATTGGCTTGTCTTTTAGCAACGTCTTTAGTACTTTCAGGCAAATTCTTTAAAGCGGTGCAAAAGGCTGTTTCTTCCTGGTTTTGTATTGAAATGGGCAGGTAGTTGGTAATCATACGTTTCATACTCATAATCATACTCTTTGAAGACTACATTGTTTCGACATTTGGGAAGGGACTGCATGTTGACTGGATTTACCTTGATTACTCGAAGGCTTTTGACCGAGTAAGTTATAAACATCTTCTTGACAAGTTGGAGCATACAGTGTGACCGGTGCACTTCTCAATTCATCAAATCGTATCTGACCAATCGCTCCTTGGTGGTAAGACACTCGTTCGCCTACCCGTTTAGTGTCACTTCTGGCGTCCCTCAAGGGTACTGCTTGGTCCTTTTTTATTTAACATCTTCATAAATGACATCGCAGATATTCTGGACGTAGGTTTCTCCTCTTTGCCGATGATCTGAAACTCTTTGTGAGATTTCCTCAAAGGATGACAAAAACGCTCGCCTTCAGAGAAACCTTGACAATGTTATTCATTGGTGTCGAATCAACTCTATGGACCTGAATGAGAATAAGTGTGTGGTCATGCATTTCACACGCTCTTCACAGATTAACTGCTATTGGTCTTCAAGTTCTGCAGTCAGTCAAAGAAGTACGCGACTTGGGGTTTTCTTCACATCACAACCTTCACCCTGGCGCTCACATATCTCGCATCTGCTCCAAGGCCTACTCCGTTCTCGGTTTCATCTTCAGAGCCACCAGAGGACCATTTTCTCTTACCACCATTAAATCTCTCTACATGACTCTCGTCCGCTCAATTCTGGAATTCAACTCAACTGTGTGGTCCCCTTACCAACTGGGATTGGTTAATGAACTACGAAAAAGTCCAAAACCGTTTTATCAGATTGATCGGAGTCAAGATGGGTTTTCGCTACACTGAAGTTGAAATCAACGAGATTGGTCAGCTTCTTGGCCTCCCGCCGTTGCTTCTTCGAAGAGAGTTGATGAACGCAGTATTCCTCTTAAAGCTAGTAAATGGCTCGGATTGGACTGTCCTGAGCTGCTGGGAAAGATTGACTTCCACGTCCCTCGTCATTCCAAACATCAACAATAATTGTTTAAAAGAGATCACTACTCCACCTCTTACATTCAGCACAGTCCAGTACCTCGCCTGATGCGCACAGGGAACACCATCTACGGAGACGTCAACTTATTTAGCCGCAGTGTCTCCTCCTTCAAGTTCGAAACGAGTGCCAGAAGAATGCACATTTAGTGAAATCTTTGTTAATAATGTCACTCGCTGTTTCTCTTTCTGTTTTACTTTTGAATGGTCTATTTATTTTGTTATTGTTGTGAAATAGTCTATTTATATTGTTTTTGTTGTATGATCTATATTGTCTTGTTCAAAATGGTTTGTTAATGTAGTTTTCGTTGTTTATAGTCTATTTATAATTGTTTTTGTTGTTAAATTGTCTATTTATATTGTTTTTCATGAACATGCCTGTATAGCTGTTACG